ACAAGTGGAGTAGTTTTATATTAGCTGAAATTTCTGAATACAAAATTAAACATCAAGGCCGTAAACAGAGAATGGGAAAGAATTATGTTTGTTTTAACAACCCTTTGATGTTTACTAATACGGTCATTAGTGGGATACATTCATAATAATTTATGTATGATCTACACAACCAATCAATTCACTAATATTTTAAATTGTTGATTAAACAAAACAAAATATTACTTCATAGTGCACCCTGACTAATAATGTCTTACAGGGTTCATATAATGATATAGCTTGGCCGATTCTTCATATACTATAGTTTTGATATGGTGATCATCACAACACTATTCGCTTAGCATGGCATGGTTGTTGAGTAATATATTGAAGATTTCTGTCCTTATTCGCGTAGTGATGATTCTTCTTTTATGTTACTCTTCTTAAAAGACAAAATCCTGGAGCGTCTCTCTATGCTTGCAAAGTGAGTCTCTCCCTAATTAATTCAGCAACTTATATGTTTGCTTGAATTACCCTGCTAAGTAATCTAGTCTTACTCTTTCACCATTATGATACACCTCGATAATGTTGGAAATTGATAATCGCATAACACACATAAATAAATTGAAAACAAAAAACAAAAAGGGAGAGAGAAAATCACATAGATATTTATTCTGATTCATTTAATGTAAGCTACGTTCAATTTGTCTATACTATATTCACCTCACCGACACTCGTGATAAGTAACTCGGTTTACAAGAAAATATAAATAGAATTTAGAAAACCCTAAAAGCAGTTATTCATGGGTCCAAATCCAAATTACTATGAAAAAGAAAATTACAAAAAATCAGAAGCTCACAACCACTAAAGCACGGACACGCTGATCAAACAAAATTTTGCGTGTCGGACACGTGTCCGACACGGACACGCTCTGACACGCTCGGACACGCGTCCGACACGTGGTCAACATTTGGGGACACGCGGTCAACTCTCCGACACGTTCCGACACGTTTTTTGGACACGCATTCAACTTTTTTGGACACGCAGTCAACGCTAGGACACGCTCGGACACGTTTTTTTTTTTTTTTTTAAATCTTAATTTTATTTTGTTAACTAAATATAAAAGAAATAATTTATAAATTAATTTTTTTCTGTTATGAAATTTGACATGAAAAATTAACAAAGTACGAAAAATTATTTATATTTATATTTATGTTATGAAATTTAAATATTTGATTGGTTATATGACTTATTATGGACTCTTATATGTCTTAAATATAAATTATATTATATATATTAAAAATTTATTTAATATCAAAACGTGTCCCAACGTGTCCAAATATGACATTTTTTAGAATTAACGTGTCGGCGTGTCGTGTCGTGTCGTGTCCCGTGTCCCGTGTCCGTGTCCGTGCATCATAGCTCACAACAATACTATAGCCCTCATCAGTATGCGAAGTATGACTCATACCCAATAGTTAATATATTTAGGGTTCGCTTTTTCTGCAATCATTGCAGATAAGTTATCTGCAGTAAGTCCAATACGACGTCGTTTTGAGGCGAAAATTATGGTGTTTTTATAATTTTAATTTATTTCAGGATTATTATAGTCTTTATAATTATAAAAAATTTAATCTTTCAATCTCAAAACGACGTCGTTTTTGGAGTAAATGCAGATAACTTATCTACAGTAATTGTAGAAATATTTTTTCTGATATATTTATATATGGGTTATATTTATCTCATTCAACATGAGATAAATCAAATTTCTACACACATAACAAAGATGGGTCCCACCTCTATATTTTTTCTATCCAATTATTTGTGAATTTCTCTTTTAATTTTAGGGTTCGCTTTTTCTGCAATTACTGCAGATAAGTTATCTGCAGTAAGTCCAATACGACGTCATTTTGAGACGAAATCATGGTACTTTTGTAATTTTAATTTATTTCAGGGTTATAATAGTCTTTATATTTATAATTTTTTAAGATTTTAATATCAAAACGACGTCGTTTTAAAAATAAATGCAGATAACTTATCTGCAGTAACTGCAGAAATATTTTTTCCTTAATTTTATTTCACTAACATAAAATAACTCATTTCTAACAACGTAAGAAAAATATATTCTTTTATATATATGTCATAAATTGAGTGAATTAAGAAGAGAGGTTGACCTTCTCTTTCCAATTATATGTCATTAATTAAGTTGAGACAACACATACTAGTTCCTGTTTATCTGCTAATTATGTGGATGATATGAAACGAAAGCCTCTAAATAAGTATATTATACAAGAGGAGACAGCTGTATCATAATAGATGGTAGATTTTCCAGTAGCTGAAGGACACTAAGAACAGTGAAAATCCATTAAAATACAGAAAAGGTAGAAAGGAAGGTTGATGATTGATGAATTTACAAACGACAAAATTGAAGAGCACGCCTGGCTACAAGAGAATAGGGTTAACGCAGCCAAAAGGGAGTATGAAGAGGCAGTGAGAGTGTGTATGTGTGTGGGGTCCAGTACTAATTAAGGGAGTCACATTTTATTACAACTTGGGTTAAGTGAATAGATCAAAGTATGTAATACAGTGTACAAATTAGACACATAGCCGCAACGTGTAGCTGTAGAAGAGTGGAAGTGCCAGCACATGGTATTGGGTTTCTCTGTTTGGGCACTATCATCTATCTGCTGTCCACGTCTATTTCATCCTGGCTTATCAATTCTCTGCTGGAAAATTTAGAAAGGCTTCAAACTCTTCAGTTATTCGACAGCTATATCGCTCTTTGCTTCTGATTCTCGGAGAATTTTAGGTACTATATGTTAGAAATTTTATTTTGTAGCCTATCATTCATGATTAATTTTGTTTTATAAAAAATAGGTTGATTACACGGGGATTAATTTTTAATTATCCAAGTTTTAAGTTAACCATAAATAAATACATAAAAGATCACACACTCACTCAGTTACCGTGGCATGTTAGGGTATTTAAGATGCAATATCATGAGAAGATTTAAGTCTTAACGGCATATATACTAAGGGTTTAGTGTTTGTCATTTTAAATGACACAACTTTGTGTCATTTTTAATGAAACTACGTCAATTTGGTGTGTTTTGTCATGTTTTCTAATTTATAAAATTAGAAATAAAATGAAAATTGAGGAGAGAGAATGTAAAAACTTACTAAAACGACGTAGTTTCATTAAAAATGATATAACTTTGTGTCATTTAAAATGACAAACATTTTTTCCACTTTTTTATATATATGTATTTTGCCTTTATTTAATGGGAAAAATGTTTGTCATTTTAAATGACAGAAAGTTATGTCATTTTAAGAGAGATACAGACACAGAAATTACTGTCACTTTCTCTCTCATGATTTCTATTTTTTGTGTCTATCTCTCTCCTAAAATGACATAACTTATGTCATTTAAAATAACAAACACCGTAATTTCCAAAAAAAAAAAAATAACAAACACCAAACTCTTATTTAATACCCTTTACATTTACGGAGAATGTAATTTTTGACAAACAAATTACATTTTTAATATATAAACGGGTTTTCGGGACCGAACGAGTTATCCATTTTGCCACTTTTTATATGAGACCTCATATTTCACCACCATTTTGCGAACTAGATTATAAGAATAGTTATTTCCGGCATCATATAATATATCAACATAAACCCAATTAATTTTGTTTTCCACAATTTACTCTTCAGCATGATATAAAACTTACAAGATTAACTAAAAAGTTACAAACTTATGAATAAAAATTATTTATATAAAAAAATTAGAAACTTATTTAAATACTATAGTAGTCTTTTTTTTAGAAAGAATACCAAAGTGAAGACCTAGATTTACTCATGCTAATAATTTGGGCCCAGAAAAACTAATAGCCGAACAAATGAGAGGTTTTGGGTTGGGCCTGGGAAAAATCTGACGCCAGCATAATCCAACGGCTAGTTTTTCATTTCAAAAACCATATGATTACCTTAAACTAACTTTTCGTTTTGTGATTAAGAAAGCGGTTAGTACAAGATCTTGGGGTCTATTTTTGGTTATGAAACGTAATTCAGAGTTCAATACCTTCCCATTTCTCTCCTTCTCCGATTTACATTTCACCTTTTTCACCCAACACTTTGCTCCTCCAACTCAGGTCAGTTTCTGGGTTTAACTTGTATTTTTATTTTTTCTTAAATTTGTTTGGTTAACATGTTGAAACATTTTGGGCCATGCTATTGTATTGTATTGTAACCATGGTTTAATGTTGAATATATGGTTCAATGGCATGTAAAATGAAATCTAAACAATTGAAACGAAAAATGAAACCTCACGTATTGCATTTTAATTAAGAGGGTACCATGTCATCTATGTAAACAGATAAATTAGACATAGGAAACGAGCATAAAATGAAGGTTGCACTATGTTAAGGCTGAATCTATCAACCCTGAAGGGGTAATTACATTTGATATTGTATTAGCTTCTAATGACAGGTTTTATGTTGCATTGATAATATCGTAATTCTTTCTCATAAACGTTGGGAATGTGTTCCTCTTCCTATGCTTAAGCGAACCAAGCAACGTGTGTATGTAACATCCACAATTTATAGGTCCTAATGTAAAGTTTTACAAGGCCTTGGAGAGCAGCAACATTTCATGGGGTGTATTCTAATGACCTGAAAATGATATGAATTTCTTTGACTCCCACGATAAATCATATTAGTTTTCCTAGGAAGTACTCTAAAATGATGAAATATCAGTATTATGTTCCTCAAATTCCGTTTCAAATGATGTTCCTTAACCTCCAACATTTGGAACTACAGGGATTTATATGATGAAATAACCGAAGTCAACTGAAATGCCAACTTGTGTTCCTACTCTAATCTCTTCCTCTTTATCTGCAAACCGCAATATTTTTACGTTTTGTCTTGATTTTGGCCTGGGGTAATGTAACTCTCTTCGTCTTTTACTTTTATGTACTGTTGGCAAACAGGTTTTCTTGATGTTATATATGTAAAATACAAAGCAATGGATAATAATGATGAAGAGTTGGATGAGGCTAAAGCTGAAATTGAGAAACTCAACGTAGAAGAACTAAGAGGCAAAACAGATTCACTTCAGAATTTGAACAAATCCCATGATGCACAGGTCAATCAGATACAGGAAGCTATCTCCAAAGTTGAGAAGCTGGATCAAGAACTACTTCAAAAGGCAGATGGAATCAATGATGCAAAACAGATGCATGAACATCTCAACGGGAATTTGAATAATAATGAGTCCATCACCAAACATCTCAGTGCTGCAAATGATAAACTTGGAGCACATTGTGATGAGAAGTTTAAAAAGTGGGAAGATGAAAAAAGAAGGTTAGTATTGGCGCTAGAAGAGGCAAATGAGAAAGTGGAGAAACAAGAACAACAGATGCATGTGTATAGACAAGAGATTGAAAGCCTGAAAGGTTGCCTTTCAGTTGCAAAAGAGAAGTGTTTGGAAATAGAGAAAATTCTAAAAGCATTCAAAGAATTAGGAGAAACAGATGAATACTTAAACTCTCAGCGGGACTACAATATTGGAGATGTTAGATATTCACTGAAAACAAAAGAAGCATATTATAAAGAATCAAAATACTCAATTGAGAAGCTTGAGCAAGAAAATCATGAGTTACGGAAGTCCCTCAAAAGACTCAAGGAAGCTCGAATTCAAGAAGCAGGAACTTCATATTCTTTGTCAATATTGCGGTCCAATCTCAGAGATTTGGAACAATCTCAAAGAGAGTGTGTCTCAATTTTTAAGGCTAGACAAGCTGAATGGAGCTTTCAGTTAGAAAAATTGACTGGAGCCTTCAATAGCTGTCGGTCTGAGTTGGAAGCTAAAGCTGCAGAGGTAGAAGAGCTCAAGATGGAGTTGGAATGTTCTCATTCTTTGTCTGCTGAGATGATGTTGCTGAATGAGGAGATGTCTGTGATGCTGCTAGTGTTAAAACTGGGAATTTCCGAGGCCCAAATGAAACTTTCCAATGATCAAGACGAGATGGATGTTATCAACAAAGAAAGAAAAGAAAAGTGTTTTCAACTGATGAAGCAGTTGGAGATGAAAGATGATGCTTTGATCAGTGCCCAGAAAGACATCAATGAAGAACGTGAGAATGCATCATGTTTAATGAGCCAGGTTGAATCCTATGGACTCGCCAAGGAATTGCAGCATTCTCTGCAAAATGACTTAAAAGAACAACTTGAGGAAGCTTATGATGCTCTAGGCAGGGCAAACATTGAATTGGATGAGAAAATATGTGAAAGAAGTGAAATGGAATTTGAATTGCAAATATGGAAGTCATTTGTTGAACGTTTGAGGAATGATGTTGAAGAAAATCTTGCAATGCGTAAAGAATTGGAAAATTCACTCCTTGCACAAGTAGATTTTAGTGAAAGCCTCGAACAAGAGAAAGATACCTTGGTTTATAAGTTGGAAGAGAAAGAGAATAGAATAGATTATTTGCTGCAACAAGTTTTTCTACTGGAACAAGAACTGAAGGCAAGGGACACACAAGCTTCAGTTCCAGTAAGAGGGGAAGAAACAGCTGTGTCCTCTGAGACTGGTGAAGTGAGATATCTCCAGATCATAGAGGACAAGGACAAGATCTTAGATGAGCTCCAGAAAGAGGTTCTTTGGCTGGAACAAGAATCATTTAGAAGAGAATTTGAAAGTACTGGGATTGCAAAAAGCAATTTGGAAAGAACCAATGAACTTGAAGAGAATCCTATGCAGTTTATAAAGGGAAAAAACATGAGAATAGATGAACTCATGCAGCAGGTGACTTCAACGGAACAACAGTTCACTAGCTCCTTGACCCCTTTTTCTTCACATATTGCTGAGAAAAAGGCTGAAATCAATCATATCCAAGAAGCTTGTGATATGATCACAGCAGCTGAGGTTCTAGCTGCTCTTGAAATAGAAGAGAAGAAGTTGATGATAGTGGAACTTGATACTTATATCCATGATATAGAACAGAAACTGAAATTGCAGGAGGAAAACAGGTGCCAACCAAAACACCTTGCATTGGATATTGAAGCGGAAATGGATGCAAAACAGTTAAAAATAAAGGAGTTGACAGATCAAATGGAGAATAAGCTCAGAGGCTCAGATGTTTTGCTTCAAAACCTCAAGATGGAGAATAGAAATTTGCTTGAAAATGCTACAAGATTGTCATCAGAAAGGGACAACTTGTTGGGTTTTGTTCTGGGATTGGGTGATAAAATGTGTGAGTGCACTACTGCAGACACTCAACTAATGGATATATTCACAAGCATAATGCAGGCTTTAGAGAATGATTATCTAGGAATGAATTTGAAAAAGGATGATGAATTGCTTGTAAAAGAGAATATGATAATGCATTCTCCCACTGGGGTAAAGAAACCTGAAACCTTTTCTGATATAAGGTCGCCATTTAAGGAGCTCAACAGTTAGTTGCATTAGGTAATAGATTTGAAAGATGGATGTGATGTGTATATCTTAGATTTTCAGAAGGAAAAAAAACTCATGCAGCTTGAAGCATGAACATTTCCTTAGATTGTATATGTTATTGATTTGTTTTAGCTTGTATATTCGTTGTTGTTGGGCTTAATAATAGCTTTTGATATGTCAACACAAACCTAAACTTGTATTTACAAATAATAATAATAATAATAATAATAATAATAATAGTAATTCCTTTAGAAACTTCATTCTAATTTCGTAACTTACAAAATCCATCTGTTTAACTTATAAAACTCTACTTTTTAATTAATAAATCACCTTAATGATTGAAAAAGATATATAGAAGGGTGTTTGCTAAAATAAAGATTAAAATAAATAATTATTCCTTATATTTTTACCCAATTTGAACTTTAATCTTCATAATTTATTTTTTCTGAGTATCTAAATATATTTTTTCTGAGTATTAATCCTTTAGAAACCAAAAACTTAATAATTGAAAGTTATAAAGGCTAAGAGTTTATTATTTCTTATGTTGTAGAAAATAAATACACATAAAAAGTATATTAAGCTAAAGAAAAAGAAAAAAAATAAACTCCATAAATTTTTATGAATGTGTACAATAAACCCAAAAGCCTGATAATTCATAAAAAAAAGACCAATACTATAATGAATTGAAACTACAGGAACCAAAAAAAAAAAAAACTAGAATCTAAATGGGTATTGCATGTCATCTTCGAAGTGGCTCTCTCTGGTCTGTGCCAAAATAGAAGGAAGCTAAGTACCAATAAGTTGAATAAATTTTTGGTATTACTATTGTATCAAGATTCAATGCATTTTATTAATGAGAGAATTATACATTATAGGGAAAAAGAAAAAATTTGACAGAAAAAAAAAATTTAACTGATATGTAATATTTTTATTGGTGAGATGTAATATTTTTATTGGTGAGATGTACTGAATCTTGAGTGCAACAGTAGCACCAATAAGTTAATAGTGTAGAGGCATTGGAGAAGCATGAAAGGACACGTGGAAAATGAATCGGTGGCTGACATGACAACAAAAATAATTTCTGGAGCACAAATGGATGATTATTTATTCTTTTTTGGTCGGGCTCACAAGAAATTAAACATAATTTTTTTATAGGTTATTTTACCTATTATTTTTTCTGTCTATTTTTGCCTACCACTTTAAAATATCATTAGATCAGAATCTTAATTAATATTTATCTTTCTCTCTTGATATTCTAATCTAACAGCGTTGAAAGGTGATAGAAAAAAGTAGGCAGAATAAATAGTAGGGAAAATAATTTATTTTTTTTCAATAGAATGTTTTATGGATGATTATTTATTAAAAGAGAATATTCTATTTATCATTTTTCTGCTCTATTATTTTAAAATAGCATTGATCAGAATATTAAATAACATTTATCTTTCACTCTTATTGAGATTCTGATGATCGTGTTGGATAATTTGAATAATCTACCCCTTTATTAACAGTACTCCAACTAATTTGATAAGATAGAAACAGAATTTATACAAAATCCATTTACGTTGTTTTCTGTTGCGTTCGTTGGCGCTGCGCCTCGTGAAATTAGAGGTAGACAAAAAAAAAAAAAAAAGTCATTGGGTTGGAAGCTCTGAGAGAGAATCCTCTGACCCACCTGCTCCTCCTTCTCCATCAGAGGTAACCACCCAATTCTCCAAACTTTCCAAATTTCAAATCTTTTTTATGCATATCTCATTTCCCCCAACTTATTTGTTTAATAATCTTCCCCCTTTCCTCAATTTTTTTCATGTGCTTCTTTGTCTATAACCTGATTTAAGCAGCAAATTCAGGCTTTTTTGTGTCGTTTTGATTCTCAAACCGATGTTGAGATATATTTTTGCGAAGGGGCTATCAAGTTTAAAATAAAAAATAAAAAATTAGTGTTTTTTGGTTGAAACTGTTCCATTTGGTAGATAAGAATTCAGGGCTAACTTGAAATTTTAAGGTGTGAGGGGGTTTTGATGCTATAAGTTAGATGGTGGTGCAATTGAAACAGTTTTTATTTAGCCCAAAATTTCTATACTTCAACCTCCCCCAGATGTTAGAGAGAGTCAGAGATGTAGGTTTCTATCTTATGTGTTGTGATGCCTCCCATCAAGAGCTGGTTTCAGTCATTCTGGAACTTTTTGCTGCTTCTTTTTTTTTTTTTTTTTTTTGTGGAATTAAAGCTCAGAAAAATGTACATGTTTGATATCCTTAACCTTTTGATGCTCACATAGTTAATATCGGTTTAACCGCAGGCATTTCAGTTGGAAGATTGTGAAAGTCTATCTGCATCACTTCATCTGTATTGACTGTGTTGAATTGTGTCAAAGTCTGCAATACTGTATTTATACATTCTTGAGCTCCTAGTGAGACCTTCTCTTGATAAAATAATGGCTCTTCCTGGTTCCCTGCAGCTGTCCCATGGATTGGGACTTTGCAGGAACCTGAGCTGCAATAAACATTCGGTACATGAATTCTCTTTAGTTATGTATTCATTTGTGCAAGTTTCAATATTTTTTACTCTGTTCTCACTTTCATATCACTTTATGGATTACAGAGGGTAACGGGAAGAGGCAAGTTACATTTATTGAAAGCAGGTCCTTCATATCCTATTTTGGTATGTTCTTAAAATATGGTGATATCGTCTTGTTCCTTACTGTTTACTCAACGTCTAATTGGTGTGCCAAAATATTTTTTTGTCATTGTTGTGAAACTTTAGCATGAAATACTTCTGTGCCCATTTTCTTTAAATAATGGACTTCTTGGTACTGTCTAATTTTGATTCTATGCAATTTCTTGTCTTGTATCATTTACTCGTCTTAGGAAATCTTCTACCAATGTGATTTTGATCCATAACACACCAAACAGCTCACGGTTTTGTGTGTAGCATAAATTTTATAATATTTTTTTAAAATGACTCATTCATTAGAATTCTGCTAGTGTCTGCAATATTGTCAGGCAATAATGTTAATGTGCTCCTTGTGTGGCTGGATTTATTGATGGTTGAATGTTTAGATACTAGCAATGATAAGCGGAAAAAATAATGCCTTTCCAATATTAAAGAAATTGCATGGCCATTTTCTTTTCATTAGAAAGTACTGTGAGACAATTGCTGTTCATGAAACAGGGCTGCAGGGGATTTCAACTTCTTCGTCATATAAACAAGCCAACTCATACATTGTCTTGCAAATCCCGCTCTTTTAAGTGCCATTGTTTTTTAGTACCAGGCCCGCCAAGTGAGCTGCCTGCTGTTAAGGTGGTTGCTACGGCACTGGCAAGGTAAGTTTTCCGATTTGCAGCTAGCAAGTGTACAAATTAAGTGCTCTATTTATATTTTTTGTTGTTATAAACTTATGTGTTGCTTTTGCAGGTCTTGTAATGTTTTACAAAGTAGTCCTGCCATTGTAAAGTTGATTCCTGCAGTTGGCATTATCATTTTTGCAGTATGGGGTGTTGGTCCATTAATGTTTCAGACAAGGAAACTGTTTTTTCAAGTAACGTTGCAGTTATATTATTTTTCATCTCTGTGTTAACTGATCCAATGCTATTAGTACCCGAGTCTAATTTTGCACGCTGTATTCTGCAGAGGAGTGATAATAGTTGGAAAAAAAGTACCACTCATTATGTAGTAACTTCTTACCTTCAGCCATTGCTGTTATGGACTGGAGCAATGCTTATTTGCAGGTTTCACTGTTATGAAATAATTACTTTATCAGATGATGAATACATTATATCTTTCTCTGATGCATCTATTCTCAACATACTGAATTGTTAGCTGATTGCAGAGCATTGGAGCCGGTAATTCTACCCTCAGCAACTGGCCAGGTTGTTAAGGAACGGCTTTTGAATTTCATAAGATCATTGTCAACTGTACTAGCTTTCACCTATTGTTTATCAAGGTGTGCCTATTTCCTTAATTTCATATGATCTATTGAAACTGATGAATGATTTGGTCACGTAACTTAATGATGCACCAAATTACTTTAGCTCTTTGGGTTTTTCTTCATCTTTTAGGAGAGAAATCGTCTGATTTTCTATTTTATGACAAATTGTGTTGCCATGCCTATTTATTGTCTCACTGTTTTTTTGTTAGCATTATTGTACCATTCAACTGTATATTTGTCAAGATACATCAATGTTGTGTCCTGCTTGAATACTTTAATCTGATCTTTGGTTCCAATTTACATTGCTTATTAAGTTGGGCTACCATAAACTAATTGTGCAATTCTCTTATGCAGTGTAATTCAACAAGCACAGAAATTCTTAGCAGAGAGCGCTGATGCAAATGAGACAAGAAATGTTTGTATCTTACCTTTATGTATTGGCAACTGACGTTATAATCTAGCATGAAGTTCAAACATGATAAATATACTATCAAATCCATGTATTACCCTTTGGCTGTCATAAGTTTAATTGCTATTATGATTCTGTTGAGGCTTGATTTCCCAACAATCACCAGGTAACATTAGATAGGCAATATAGCTGCCCAGCTATATAATGGTGTGCAATGTTTCACATTTTGGATTTCCCACTATCAATTTGTTTTACACAGTGAAGATTAACAATCCGCTAGATTAATTTTTATTTACAGAAAAATATGTAGAACTGGGAGCACTTGAATGTGTGACGGCTATATCTTATTCATGTGTATGGGATAAAAGAATTCATTATAGCTGTGTATGTATTTTAGACAATATATCATTTGTGGAAGTCCAGTAGCTTGGCAACTGCAATGTATTGAAGATAATAATTGTAAAAAACCTGGATTTCATTGTATTCCTTGGTTATTAGTTGTGGTTCAATTTCAAAGATATCATAAATTGTCTGTTTTTGTCAGATGGGATTCCAATTTGCGGGCAAAGCTGTTTATTCTGCAGTATGGATTGCTGCCGTTTCATTGTTTATGGAATTGCTGGGCTTCTCTACCCAGAAATGGGTTACTGCAGGAGGTCTTGGGACAGTTTTGTTGACTCTTGCTGGTCGTGAGGTGTGGGATACATTTTTCTTGTAATCATGCCAATTCCTTTGTATTGTGGTGGTAGCAATGATATTGTAGCACATATTGATGTTAAATTTTATCTGTTTAGATATTTACAAACTTCCTTTCAAGCGCCATGATTCATGCAACTCGGCCTTTTGTGGTTAATGAATGGATTCAAACCAATATTGAAGGATATGAGGTTTCCGGTACTGTGGAGGTGTGTTAAATTTCACCTATTAACTATTGAATGTGAAAATTTTGTATTAAATATGTACCATATGTTTTTCATATAATAACTTACAGAAGGAAATTCCAAAATACAGTGTATTGCTTTTGAGATCTCTTTGTAGTGTTCTTTTGGGCGTTGATGTTTTCTTGCAATGCAGCATGTTGGCTGGTGGTCACCAACAATTATAAGAGGTGAAGATCGTGAAGCTGTACACATTCCAAACCACAAATTTACAGTGAATGTTGTGCGGAACCTCAGTCAAAAAACACATTGGCGAATCAAAACTCACCTAGCCATTAGTCATTTGGATGTAAATAAGATTAATGTGAGCAATGGTTTTGTTGTTTATGTATAACTTGCTTTTCACCAATATTGAGCTTTTTATGGTAATTTTCCCCGTGACAAATGGTTTTATACTTCTGCAGAACATTGTTGCTGACATGCGGAAAGTATTAGCCAAAAATCCTCAAGTTGAGCAGCAGAGGTTGCACAGGAGAGTGTTTTTGGACAATATCAATCCTGAAAATCAGGCTCTTTTGGTTAGTATGAAATGGTTAGAGTATCTTGCAAATCAGTGATTCTGTGCTAATTGACAGGGATCTTAAATAAGATTTTATTCTTTTTAAATCCTTCAAATAAGTTGTTAGCCACAGTAAATCATTGTACCATAAACAATATATTGAGGAAAAATTCATTCTGTAGTTTGTTTTATTAGATTCGGGTAACTTCCAGTTCAAGAAGGACAAAATCGTGTTTTGCATTTTTTCTAATCTGTGGTCCAACTTCAAGTGCTTTCTTTAGCTATGCTTTAAATATAATACCCCTGGGTTTCATTGGTGATACAGCTAAATAAAAATTGACAAAAGAGCAGCAATCATTTTCTCTATGAAATTTTGGCTTTCTTCCTCCTTTTATGTTTTATATTTAGATTAATTTTAATTTATTTGAGGTTACATTGTGAATATCATTATTAAATACTTAGGATATTTTTGTTAATATTGTTTTCACTGCCCAAATTAGGGTAGATTCAACATTTTCATCTCTAAAATAGTTAATGAATACTTAAACCAGATAAGTTGATAGTGTATATGGTTTATGTCTTAACTATTATAAAAGTTCTTTATAGGACTTATAGTACACATATGAACAGTTTATCCTATCTTTATAGTAGAGGAAACTGAATAAACTTATAGCTGCCTATATGTGCATCTATCTCCACTTGTGCAGATGTACAGCTTAAAAGTTGTAACTGTACCTTCCCTTTTTGTTGTTTCAATTAGATTTGCATATGCTTGGAACTTTCGTCAATTATGATCAAACTGAACTGTTGCCCATATTTATATCTATTTATTATTGTATGATAGTATATACTTACGTATAAAATATAATGTTTTTCTTTTTCTATGATTTTCACAGATTCTGGTGTCTTGTTTTGTTAAGACCTCACATTTTGAAGAATATTTGTGTGTTAAGGTATGAATACTTCCTTATTTATCTAGAATATACCACTTCATGTCAGCTACCCTCACACAGTCATGATTTGCAAATGACAATTCAAGAGCTGTTGTAAACTCTTGATAGACAGTCAATAATTAAATAAAACAATAACTTCACTTGCAAAGCTCTTTCAAAAGTTTGAGAATTCCTGATAAGTTAATTTGAATAGAAACTCATGAATAATTAGGTGACAGACCCCCTTCCATACCCTCTCTGTTGAGCCTTGCAATCAACCCTTTCAATCACTCCACATGAAACCCCGACTTGTGAGAATAGGGATAAGAGAAGTCCTTGTATGTAGCCTTACCTTTGCATCATTACACAGTGGCTGTGTCCTGAATTTGAATTAGAACCTGTGATCTCTCGGTCGCTAAGGAGCAACTTTAGTACTGCTCCAGGCTCGATCTCTCTTTTGAAATCTTCTTAGAAAATTAAATAAAAAAATAAAAAATGATCTCAGGCCAGTTTCTTTCAAGTATTATGATGATGTATCTGAATAATCCTAATTTTGGATAGCAGTTTATATTGTTCTAGAAACTTGTTTGTTGGATATGACACTGTCTGCTAATGCATTTAACCACTGTGTCAGATAAACATTTCATAAACTAGTTTTTGATCTATAGGATTTCCTCTTATTTTGTGATATTGATCATGGATTAAGCTGGTTTTCCACCTATTGGATTCTGAAAAATAGGAAACTATACTATTGGATCTTCTTAGAGTTATCGGCCATCACCGGGCCCGACTTGCAACACCAGTCCGTACCCTGCAGAAAATATACAGTGATGCTGACTTGGATAACATACCATATGCAGATTCCACATTTAGTGGTGCTGGAACAGTATCTAAGCGTCCATTATTAATGATTGAATCGCCTTACAAGATCAATGCAGATGATAAGATGAAAAGTCGATCAGCACGACCAGGTGTTGATCAAGATAACAAGACAACTGCGCGAACCAAACTCGACACCAAGACAGATGCAAAGGTTGAACCAATGGGAGGACCAGACACCAAGGTTAGAGGAACTCAAGATGACCATGAGGTGGACACCAAAGTTGTGACATCTAATTCTGATGCAAATGGAAACTCTAAGACTGTTATAACACCCAAACCCGATCCTGAAGTGGGTGAAAACAAGCCACAATCAGATTCAAACAAGGCAAATGTGGAGGTGCCAGAAATGTCTTCTTCCAACTCCAAAGAAACTGGTTTGGTGGTAGATAATTCAACCCAGAAGGACATCAATGTCAAACAATCCAAGGGTCAGACCATTAAAAACATTAAGCCGAACATTGACAGTGTAGTTTCCTCCTCATCAACTAGCAATGCTGACAATGCTGGTGGACTTTCTATGAATATGCCAACAAAACAGCAAGGGGAAAGGAAACCTGCTGCACAGCCTCATGCATCTAGACCTGTTCTTGAAGATAATATAGTTCTGGGTGTTGCATTGGACGGATCAAAGAGGACCCTTCCCATTGATGAGGAGGTTGACACTGTGACATCTCGAGAGGCAAAAGAAATGGCTGCATGCCAGGGTGGAAATGGATCTCCAAATGGTGCAGATGTGAATGACAAGTAAGATTGTAGTTCCTCCAAGTGGGACATCTAGTCATCAGTGAATTTAACTTGTTACTTGTTTAAAGGCTCATTGTCCCAAGTCCAGTTCACTGCTGACTTAGAACCACTTTCCCATCTGTAAGAAGCTGTATATATTATTTATCATTTCCTGTGTCTTACACCCCTTCTTAAAAGGTCTCGGAGCTAATGTTGTCATATCATTTCATTATTTTTGCTGTTTCAACGATAGATGGAAAAGTAAAGTTTCTTCGATGATTAGATTGTATCAAATCGGCAACTACAGAATTTTATGTAACTACAAGATAACCCATGATTTAGAATGTTTGAATGATAAGTAACAATACGGCTCCTGTTATTGAATTATAAATAATAACTGTTCCTGCTAAGAATGCCATCATCTCATAAATACATCTCCCACACAACACAACTCTCAAGCACTCTTATCAAGAACATCATAACAAAACCCCATATGAATAAGTGGAGTTTAAATACTTTTATTCACCAGATACAAATGTCAAATAATAAGACACTGAACTATAACATATAGTGGCTACTCATTCGTGAACAATATTTTAAGTATATTAAGCTTGACACATGCAATCAGGAACAGGATATGTGTATACGGACTGTTTGGGCTTTCTCAGTCTGAGTTGACCTTGTCTATTTTGATGACCTTCAACCACTGCTTGCTGGAACTCTGACCACTCAATGGTTTTATTCAGGAATAGTTGACCCATCAATGCCATGTTTGGCCTTATAGTCTTCAAGTTCAAGTATGTTCGGTGTCCAACCTATCATTCATCAAAACATTGATCATCAGCTATAATTCAATTCAACCGTCTTTCAACAACTTTACTAAAATTCATAAAAACATATTGTGATGATATTTATTTAAATTTTCAAAACAAAAGACTTCGTTAACGTAATCAGTATTCCCCAATGTCACATTTATATCGATCACAAATACCTGTTATTCGAACAGTTAAAGTTTGTTTTAAGTAATCGAAGGACAAATTTATTAATGTCCCTGGGCCAAAAGGCACCTCGTAATCAATATGAACGTTCAAAATTTATTGATGAAATAAATGGAATAGATAAGTCTGAGTCCATCATCATTGCTAGACTAACGTGAGAAGCAATATCATAGCACAGCATATTCTTCAAGCCATAATCAGGTAAAAAAATCCATTAAAGAGTAATCTAAAAAGCATCTAGCACAACTCACCAATGCATTGTGCATGTTTCCTGGGGAAGCAGAGATGAAGATGTCACTATGCATGCCAACATAGTAATCAACTGCAGCTAATAGAGAAGCTTTTCCCTTTATCTGAGAACGTTCATAAGATGAAGCAAGGCTCTTTTTGTCTTCCATCAGAGGAAATAATTGCCTCAAAGTTGAAATCCTTGCTTCTCCACCATAGACCTGGAAAAGACAACTACTTCACTTAAAAAAAAAAAGAGGGAAAACAAAATCATTTTCCCAATTTTAGAAAATGCCAAGCACTAATGGAAATGAACGAGTCACTACTATGTCAAACTAAACATTGTTAAACCTTGTGAGAGGCAAGATATAAACGGGTGCTGTTGTCAAATCCCATAGCTGCTAGCAACAATCCAATCTCTTCTGGAGTCATTGGGCAACGACCCTGACTCCTCAACTCTTCATCAGTGAATTGGGAATTAAGAACCCTTCCCTGCCAAATCACCTGTCTATACTTTGCAAGAGCAAATTTTTCAGCTTTCCCCCCACCAAAATCACAGGCTGAATGTGCTGCCATATCCTGCCAAAAAACATTTTATAATCCTAAATTCAAAATTTACACATGTATGCATGTAAAAACTGAGAAACATAGTGAATGCTCCACAAATAAAAGGATAAATGAAAATTTGAAGCAATCGATCCCACACCATGGTGTAACTTTCATTCAAATCTTATATCCTATATCGAACTAAAAATAATTCTCATTCATGACTCTACCAATTTACATATTGTGACTTACACGTAGACAATACATATTATTCCTGTAATATTTACCTTTTCCCCTCTGATAAGCAATACTAGGTCTGCCAAGTGGGATCAACACAAGCACTCTCATAATGTACAGATAGTTGCACCACCAAAATAAAAGAAACAAGCAGAGAACCTTGACTTGATAGATGGTTATCAATAAATGAAAAAAGAGCAATACCTTATCAAATCGGAGGTGTAGAACAACAAATTTCCCTGCAGTTTTACTATCACCTGCACCAGTGATTTCTTGAAGGTGGTTGGAGCCCATTTCCTCAGCAGAGCCTTGAGGATAGCGAAGACGGCTGATAAGAGCATCTCCAAGTGTTCTGATATGAGGAACAAAGACTAAAGCTTGAAAGTTGACTTTACAGCGGAGGTGTTGGATATCCATAGGCAAGTTGTCAAAAGTCAGACGATGAGAAAATGGAGAGATTGCAGCAATACCATAACTGCACCAAATAAAACGTACCAGGATATTAGAAGTTCATAATTCATAGAGAATATACAATGATGGCATCAGCAAAATATACACGTTAGACCCAGTCATATCTTCATAACAGAGCAGCAGAGACTATTTTACATTGTGAAAATATACCCAATGGCAAAAAGGCAATGTTCCCAACATCGTAACATCCTTGGAATTTGCAATAAGCATCAATTTAAATATGAAGAGTAGCATTGGAGAATGCTTGGGTTCACTGCACGGAAAAGATTTTCATGACATGGTCGAATCCTCACAAGGGAAAAGATTAAGAATTTTCATATATCATTTGATCCATGTGACATTATTTCCCCCCAAATTTTACAACTGAAAGAAAATAATATATTCAAGTAAGTAGCTCAGTTGATGTCAAAAAGGCCATCATTTTGGGGGTTAGGATTGGGGTTGAGGGTTGATGATAAAGGTTTTATTGTGCATTTGGATTTGCTTCTTTTGTATTCAAACCAGGTTGTAATCAGAATTTGATAACGTAGCTTTAAGCTATGTCAGAGAACAGTATTGTGACATACTCACGTTCACACGTTGAGATCTCACAATTCTACAATCTTTGCCACATCCGATGATCCTGATCACACCCAAAAATACAATCTGGTGAGGCCACGTTGGATCATCATATTTAGGCATAGGATAGATGGGATTGGATTTTCCCACCGTGCTAACCTGTTTTTCTAAAAAAAAAAAACAAGAGCCACCAAAATTTATGACACCTACAAGCCCTGTTTCGTCTTCTACCATTTCAACTTGATGGCTTTGAATAGTTGAATGGTGGTTCAACATTGGTTGCATGGTAGCTTCAATCCAGCTCCCTCTTGATCTGCTTGGCTGCTGGTTTGATGTTGGCTGGGTTGTGAGTGGTGGTTCAATCTAGTTCTGGGTGGTCAGTAGTTCATGTTGGCTAGGTCATCTATGGTGATTCATGTCAGCTGGGTTCAATATACTTCTTAACATTTTCAATTCAAGTTTAACTAAATGTTAGTTGTGATTGTAAGGTTATATATATATATATATATATATATATATATATATATATATATCTGTGTGTGTGTGTGTGTCTGTGTCAGTTAGCTGTGATTGTAAGTTTATGTTTCTTATATATGTTATTTTATATGCAGGTAGGATCTTACAATTTGTGTTATGATCACATAATTTATGTGCCCGCCTCCCACCTCCTAGGTAAGATCTCAATTTCAACTACCTTGTTCAGAACATTGTTCAGCAGTGGTTCTCTGTTTGATAATGTTACATAGCAAATGCTGAAGTAGTTGCAATTATGAATATAAATGTCTACTTAATCATTGAAACAACTATTGTTAAAATAATTGGTCCTGAACATCCAAGTCATTCATTAGCATTTGAAGTAACAGATTCGGGTAACTACCAACCTCTCCAGGACAGGCAAAACATTTTCTAGATACCAGAAGGCTGATGCATGCACAGGTGCAGCCTTGATTCTGGTATCTCGAATGGCAGTGGCATAGTACTCCCTTGTGCTCCAGGAGTACTCTTCAGGCAGCTCTTTAACTATAGAAATATCATCCTTCAATACATCAATGAAGTGATCCACATCAAATATATCCATGAAGGAGCTGAAGAGAAAAATAAGCAACATCAGAAGACTGCATCACGCACAATCCATGGGACAAAAAGAAAATGCAACAAAATGAAAAGATGGTTTCAGCAATTGCCTTGAGTCGCGCCATACAGGATTCAATTCAAGGTACGGGATCACAAGAGTTGCATTCAGTATCTTTGCAACAGCAACAGCATCACATATCTACACAAAATAAATAAACACTTAGTACAAATTATACATCTAATTAAAAAAATTATGATCTAATTAACAGTCTTTAAATACCTACCCCCATCCTTTGCTGGTTCAAACCTCCATCAAGAAATACCTGGATGTATCCCTCGGACTTCTCTGGTAATGCTGCTTTAATTCAAGTACCAATCACCGAAAGATTAAATAAACCGTTAGATATACCAAAATGTCCTGTGTTCTCAAAGATACAACAAACTATAAAGTAAGTGGTATTAATATCACTCACTTGGCTTCTTTCTAGATTCAGCACAAGGTTTCCATCCATGCTTTTCCAGAGGAGTCCATAGTTCAGAAAGCTGTGATGTGGGCTACACAAGGAAAAAATAATAAAAAATTTAATAAAATGTATAAAATGAACAGCTACTGCTAACTAACACAAGCCAGTAAAAGCCAACTGAAAATGTATACAGTGCTCAATTAACTCTTACAGTTTCTCGTTGCACAGCACTCTTGAGGATACGTGAGTGCCTAGGTTTAATAGGATTCCATTCCTACATAAAGAAATTTGTAAGTTATAGGCACGGGAAGCCAATAAACAAGAAAATAATAATAATAATAATAAAACTAGGAACTGGGCAGCATGAACATCTGGATTCTGGTTCATCTCTGATATGATGAGCATTCTAGTGGCATAAAAAATTATAGATAATAGGAATTAAGGGACTCTTACAACTTACAAGGTAAATAAAGTAAACAGTAACATACCCATGAGAATAAAATGCAACGAATCCACACACTTAACAAATAACAACTTTATTGTGAAAGAAGCTTTCCTAGAGACAAACCGAGCATTACGAAAATTTAGTAGTATCGGATGAAATCAGTAAATCCTTCCATTACTCATTGTGATGAGTAGACACAATTTTATATTTTTCACTCAAATAATAATTTACTAAATATTTTCTATTTTTTATTTGGATTTGCTCAAATTTCTAACATGTAACCGCCTCACCAAAATGAGTAACGCGTGTTCTGAAACCTCTGATCTACAATTAATAGCCTCATCAATTAGTTAGATAAGTCTAACTAACCAAACCCAGCCAATTGAATCCATTAATTATTCCATTAAACCTACATGTAACTGCTTTCAACCTGCCAATACGTTCACCATATGGAAGAAATCTAAACGTCAGCAACTTCAATTTTTTTTTCTTAATTCTTTTCAAATACTAAAACTGAACCTGAACCCACGAGTTTCTGCAATCACCAACCCCCCCAAAATAAAAAAAATAAAAAAAAATCAAACTTCTGAAATAAACTTCAGTATGCAACTCAAAAGATGACTGACAATCAGCAAATAAAAAGGAAAATAAAAAAACAACAAATAATACACCAAAAAGTACAAACAGTAGAGCTTTCAGCTCCATGAACAATGATTAAAAAAACAGACAGATGAAAAAGTTCAAGGGAAAAGAAAACAAAAAAAACCATAACGGCATTTTCCCCAGTCCCACCAAATTGGAAATGGGAAAAACAATCCAGGAGCGAAAAAAAAATGAAGCTAGTAAAGTTATGTAACACAAATGAAGAGAAACAACTTACCGCGGGGTACATAGAAGAAGATGAGGCATGGGTGAAAGTGGTAAAAAACACAAGTGGGAAAAGCAGCAAGGAAAGTGTAACAAGTGTTGCTCCTCTGTAAGAGTAGTGATGGTGATTCTTGTACCCAAGCTCCATCTTCATGGCCGAAGGAGCTCCTCGACCTCGGATCTGGAAAGTAACCCCTTTTGGTCCCAGAAGTGTGAATGAACTAATGAAGAAGAAGAAGAAGAGAGAAGAAATAAGAGAGCGAACCTATCTTCATAATGATCCTTTATATATATAGATATAGATATAGATATAGATATATTGTGGAGTTTGTGAAATGTATGTACGTGTTAGAGAGAGAGAGAAAGAAAAGAGATAGTAAAGGGAAGTTCACATGGACACCTGGCTACAGTCACCGAATTGAATAATGAGAGGTTGGCGTCTTTTTCAAGGGGACCCCTCTTGGCTAAAGGGTATAAAGTTGGGTTTTTTACGTTAACAAAGGTGGGAATCACGAAGAGGAATAGAGGGTCACAGAGCTCACAAGAGTCACAGGTGTTCAATGCTTAGAGTTAGATGCTCTCTCTCTCTCTGAGTCTCTGTTTTTTGTTTGTGTCATAAGGCCGTTGCGTTGCTTGCCATTTACAAAGCAAAGCAACTCCCTTTTTCTCTTCTTCTTTTTTTTTTCCTGTGACCACCGACACCTCTACTAAAGTTAATAATAAACTTGGGGTCCTCTTTTTCTACCGTTACCAACCAAGAATATAACCTTTTACTCAACAGTAATCACTCATGAAGGTGGAAGGTGAATGAGTTTATGGGACGTACATGAGAAAAGAAAGAATATCGTAACAATTCATTACCCTTCTTATCAATATTATTATCAATTAATTATACTGTTACATCGATTAGGTTGATCGAACAATTATATTTATTTTCAACTTTATATGGTTATGATTTTTTATATTTAATACTTTATATTTATTTTTACCTTTATATGGTTATGATTTCTCATATTTAATGTTTTTACGTAAAATATTGAGAATTATAATCATACAAAGATGAAAATAAACATAATCGTTGGATCAACGTAATCGATCTAACGGTGAATTGATTGGTAATAACATAAATTGGTTGTTACAATATCCTACCCTATTTTAAAAAAATAAATTTTTCAAAAATGTGATTAAAATTTTATTTAATAAATCAAAATATTATTGGCTATAAAAAAATCGAAATATTATTAGGAAGATTAACTCAAATTTTTTGATTAATTGTCAAATATTATTAGAGTGTGCATGACAACCTTTCCGGAATCAATTCTTTTTTAATTTCTGTTCCCGAGAATAGAAATGGATAGGAAACTCGTGTGGTAAAACCGGTTTAGTTTTTTGTTCTCGGGATGAACCGGTTTAATTTTTGTGCTGGGGAACAGAAAAAAAAACAGAAAATTTCTGTTTTTTTGTTTCCGGACACAAAATGAGAAACATTTATCTCTCTCAATCACTCTCCACCCCTACCATCATCACCACCACCATCATCCCGACACGACTGTCGTCGCCGCCGTCATCGTACCACTAGTGCCGTCATCACCATCCCTCACCACCACGATGTCATCGTCACCATTACCACCACCTCCACTCATCACTCTATTAATGACACAAAACGATTTTAAAAACTGATCTGCTCGCTCTATTGATGAGGGAAGAATATATTGTTTGAAGATTTGGACTAGAGGTGGCAAAGTGGGCGGCCCGCCCCGCTCCGTCCCACCCCGCCATCAACCCGCCAAAAAATGAGTCAGTCTGTCCCGTCCCGTTTGGCGGATTGGGCGGGTTGGCCTCGAGCCTATTTTACACTGACTCGCCTCAGCCCGCCTATGCCCGCCATCAACCTGCCAAAAAATGAGTCCGCCCCGCTTTTAAGATGGGTTAAAAAACTCAGTCTGTCCCACTTCATTTGGCTGGTTGGGCGGGTTGACCCGCCGAGCCGAGCCGATTTTGCCGGCTCTAATTTGGACTAGTAGCGCCATCACCTCGCTTACTTGGTGTTGAGGCCAAAATATTTTTCTTTCTCTCTAGAATTCTCATGATATTTTTGGATAACATTTTTGCTTTAAAAACTGTTCACAAATCATAACGTTAGGAAAATCAAATTCTTTGAAAAAAATTCACAACTTTTATATCAAATATGAATAAATAGGATACTTAACATCACTTTTCCAAAAATCTAAATAAATCCTTGTAACAAACGCCCCTTAGGATCCTAATAAATCAGGGCAGATAATATAAAGTAAAAAAAAAGAAGCAAAATAACATAGTTATGAAAATTTCAATTACGAATAACATAAAACGTTCTAAATTATGAACTTATCAATTCTATATCACTGCATGGGGAAAGTTTTTTTTGACTTGAAAATTTTTAAATTCTTTATTGTTCCCTTTACCTCTTCAAATGGTCCAAGTTCAATTTCAATAATCTGCGAATCATATCAGAGACTATTTTGGTATTTTGTGTATTAGAAAAACAAAACGAGGGCAGGATCATTCCCCATGCATAAATAATAATTATCATTACATTTGAAATGAATGTACAGTGTACAACATATTAATTTTCTATGAATACCCATGTCCAAAATTGTCAACATGATTAATTAATAATGATTTTGCATATTTATAGCTTCACATGTTCCATTTGAGATTTGTCTTGTTATTTGACTTGATTATATAATGTGAAAGAATCCTAATCACTTATAAATAAATTAATTTATCCATTAATTGTTAGATCATAAATATGATCATATTAAACAACACGTGAAAGAATACACTCTTAAGTCTTAACGAATTGACCCTTATGTTTTAACATAATAACTGTGGTTAAGACATTCGTGATATTTTTAGCTGCATTTACGTTACTTTTTAACCGCTTCTATAATCAATTTTTTAAAACAAAATTAATTTATAAATTAATTGTGTTTTTATGTCTGTCTATAAATAGTTATAATTATTTGCCTTATTTATAGAATTACGAATATTTTTGTAACATAATTGCCTTATTTTTAGCGGCATTTATGTTACTTTTTAACCAGCGCAATGCTTCTATAATCAATTTCAGAAAAAGAGTAATGACTATTTAATAATAATTTAATTTGTAAATTAATTATGTTTGTAGGCAAAAAAAATTTAAAATATTATTTTTTTAATAAATAATTATCAATAAGTTGTTGTTTTGAACCTAAATACGAATATACTAATTTACAAAAAAAAAATACGAATATACTACACTCATTCACGCCCAAATTAGACGTGACCATTCACGCCTAAGTTAGGCGTGACTCGCACGCCATTCACGCCTAATTTACTCGTGACTCGTCTGGTGTTAACATGTGGCACAAAATGTTAACAGCTTAACCGTAAAATTTCAAAAAACTATAACTTTTGACTCGGGTATCCGAATCAGGTAAAAAAAAATTGATTTCACATAACTTTTCGAGATTTACGCAACGACATCTCATTTGACATATTTTATCTTTCACAAACACAGTTTAAATTTGCAACAATGGTACTATAAAGATGGCACCAAAGTGAATTAGTCCATCTATAAATAAGGATACTTAATGTCATATTAAAATATATACTTTCTGCCAAGTGTTTAAAAAAAATAGTATACAAGGTTTTTTTTTTTTTTGGTACAAGTATACAAGGTTATTGAATCGCAATATGTATCGTGTATCATTTGACTGATTTTTCGTATTGTAAATCATATCGAATCGTAAGATACAGAAATATAATAAAAAATAATTTAAAAAAATGTAACTTTTTTATGACTTTTATCAAACCGTATAGTAAGTTACGTCCTTCTGTATTATGACTTTTTTCTTTAAAGACATTTAAATTATGTATGCCTAAGAATAAAAAATAAAAATAAGAAAGGGAGTAATGGGTATAAGAAAAGAAAACTAAACCTGAAATCAAATCATGAATTCTAAAGTTTGGAAACGCCTCTTATACGAAATAATGGTTGGGTCTTTATGGCTGGATTCGTTAGAAGCTTATAGCCCTCTGAATGGTTTTTAAAAATAAAATCTTTCTTCCTTAGAGATTTAGAATATTTATTTAATTATTTCCTTTATTAATACAGATTTTTCAAAATGATTTTTGAGTTTAAATCACAAATCAAATCTTTATTTTATTTTCCTTATTAATAATAATTTCTTAGATTTTTTTTTAATTTAAATCACAAACCAAATCTTTATTTATTTTTTATATTAAAAATTAAAAAAAATTATTTTTTTAATTTTAATCACAAATCAAATCTTTATTTATTTTTTTATATTAAATCACAAACCCAGAACTTGGAGGGCTTCTAGGTTTACACGCTCTTATAATACCATTATTGCAAATTTGAACTGTATTTGTTAGATATAAAATATGTCAAATGAGGTGTCATTGCGTAGATCTCGAAAATTTTTATGGAATTAAAATTTTTGTTTACCTAATTTGGATAAATAGGTCAAAAGTTATAGCTTTTCAAAAATTTACAATTCATAAGTTGACTTTTTTATGCCACTTGTCAACACCAAATCAGTCATGTCTAAATTAGGCGTGAATGTCTTGTGAGTCACACCTAACTTAGGTGTGAATGATCACACCTAATTTAAACGTGAATTAGTATAATAAATTTATAAATAATTCCAAAATAACTATATATTCATAATTATTTCTTAAAATGATAATATTTTAATTTTTTTACCGTGTTGTACGTCTGTCTATAAATAGTTATAATTAGTTGCCTTATTTATAGAATTACGAATATTTCGTAACATAATTGGACTTCTAAATGAGTAAATATCAATTTTGATTTTTGAGATTTATGTCAATCACATTCTTGTTTGCATAAATATAAATCATTGATTGAATATTAAAAGGTCAATTTTTTAAAAATATGATAAATTTACATTGAGAAAGCTATGTCAACACTTGATATTATATTTTATATTTCCTGATACTTTCAATTACTTTTTCTAAACCACGTTATTTTTTTATAATTGTCATCATTTTTATTTTATTTTTTCTGAAATTATTATTATCTTAATTTATTTATTTCCTTACAATATTTCCTTTCATGTGAGATAATAATCAAATCTGATATATGTAAGAATTCATAGGTGTTTTCCATAAATAACGAATAAGAAGTTAGAAGTGGAGAAAATGAAGGAGATGTAAAAAACAAGGTTTAAAGAATGGGATTATCGAAGGGATAATTTCCAAAAAAAATCTCACATAAGAGGAAAAAGGAGAGAAAAAAAAAGACTTC